ACAATAGTTTAATTCAAAATGCAATTGCATTTTGAAATAGAAATTATGCAATGAGACATTTTCTTTATGAACCCTTAATTTAGTTTCTTAAATAATAATATATATGTAATAATTTCATAAATTAATCAACTTTAAACTGTTTACCGGGAGCATATCGTCAGAGTAACATATAAAATTGCAAATAATTATATTTCTGCTAACTCTGTCACGATCAGGTTTTTTTTTATAACAGAGCAAATAATAGCCATCGGGATGGGATAAATTGCAGATACGAACGTAATTTTAAAAGTAGTTCTTTGTAAATTTTTTTTGGCCTCAATTTAATTTTATTTGACACAGGTTCTGGTTAAATTCCTTCCCTTGTTTTAGAACCACAGCCGTGATTCTATGACTTAGTAAATTCTACTTTTATTCAGCCTTTGAATGACTTTGGTTGCCATTCAAAACTAATTCTCATTCCCTAAGCAAGTCAGTTCAACTTTATATGATTTTTGCAACCATTCTTAGTAATATGCAGCAGTTACACATCTTCCACATTATACTTGTATCTTTCATAATAATTCTTTGGTAATAGGCATAGATAATTACTTACTTTGCTAATGATTAAGCATGTTAAAATTTTAAGATGAAGGAGAGAAGGGACTTCGGCACTGAATTGACAACCATTCCAATTTTGGTCAAAGATTCGTAAGTCGCATTTTCTCAATTGCCATTACTCCAGATAGAAATCTTCCATTTTCATTATCAATTCCTTGTTTCAAGAACATTGCATTAAGCAATTACTGACCATCTCGAGGCAAACTTCACTTTTCTACAAAGTTTACGTCAAAGTACTTGAATTTTGACAGAAATATTAGATAAGCATTTATTTCACCAGTGGTTTAAGCATCTTGAAATTTTTGTTGTCGCATGCAGAATGGATTTCTCTTCTGGATTGGAAACGATTTCAATGCTAGCCAAAATTTATAATTCATGTTCTGCCATTATTCAAGGTGGAAATCCTTCACCTTTATCATCAATTCTTCATTTTAATAACGTTGCATCAAGCACATGAGGGATCAACCAGATGCAAAAATTTTCCGCAAAACAAATTTGCCAAAGTAGAGCACGTACTAAGTTGATGAAATTGGTTTACCATGTGATATTTTCTCGCATTTCACTTGGAGGAACTTCAATCTTTCTAACCCCCCACACTAATATTGTACAAGTTTATGGCCGCTGTTAGACATTTTGCTGTTCGGTATATCTCAAATTTTTGGCCCCTTAATTTCCCCGCTAAGTGCAGTTGCACTGGTTGTCCTGGCTCCGGTGTCGGTACTAATTTAATTTATTGATATTTTTTATCTCTGTAGTCTCTGGTTATATTGTAGGTCATATTATCATTCATGAAAGATATTAACCCAGTGGAGGGCTGCATTATGATCCATTATCTAATCAGCGCATATTTCACGCAATGTACTGCGAAATTCTGTTAAAGTTTAACCTGTGAACATTCAATTTAGGAGTATGATTTTTTGTTTTCTAAAGTCATAGAACCTCAATACACTACAGATGCTATTTCAAGCAACTGACACTTCCAAATACTGTTTTCCAGAGAACTCAAATGGATTGCCTCCAACCTTCAGTTTCAGATAACACAAATGTGTGCAATTTATCTGCCATTAAGGGATTATTATGGGAATTCAAGCAAATTCATCAAAATTGATTATTAGATTTGATGTCACTGCCATCAAATCTGGAACACAGATCTGGTCAACAATCAACCAGGTTTATATAAAAAAAATACAAAGCGTATGAATGCCGCATAAGAAGAGAAAACAATATAGAAATGCAGAAAAATATGCAGATATTATATGCAAGCATCGAAATTCTTCATTCATCAACTATCATATAACATTAGTCAACTGCTAGATACTTAATCAAACTAGATGTCCTTCACCTTGCTTAGGCCCACTTACGAGTTTCTTGGGATTATTAACTGTAGTGCAGCAAGTCAATTTCACTGTAGGCTTTGAAACGGAATGAATTCCAAAATAATGTTAGTAACATCGGCATTCGACATACAACAGAGATAGGAACAGTTCTTTACATTAATTCTTCCACAATACATAGAAAACTGTTCGCGATTCATAATACTTTGGTATATGTCATCCATTCTAGATTTCTGTATGCATACCAAACGAACATTTCCAATAAAGAGTAAAGGGTTTAACTGTTTTTATAAAAAGTAGTATTGTTATTATTATAATACTGTTGAAGACTAAAATACATATACTGTGGGTAAAATATAAACTGTACATAAATGAAGCACTGCATATTTTACATAAATCTTTTATTACTATTAAGATGAAAAGCAATTTTCAATAAGCTCTAACATCTCTAATCTTTGGTAATCCATATCAACCCTTTGTCAGCTTTGGCCATTTTAATTACGTGTTTGTTTTTCAAAATCATAGGCACCATTGTATTCCCATGCGGGTGCGCTATAGCCAAGTCCAGACTACACATGTTCTTACTTTTAAACAATCTTTTTTTTTTTTTTGGCCTCCATGATGATTCTAACCATTTTCGTCACTGCTTGACTCTTTTCAATAACTTTTCTAAAACTCATGATTAATGAATTAACAAAAGAATAATAATAAAAAAAATTGAAAATTCAAAGTGCACAGATTATTTGCTGAATAGTAGTAACAAGTGTATTGATGCTTATGGACAATCTTAACATTGTCTCGAAAATGGTGTTATGACCCATCAAACTTGAGTCGTTTTCCAGAGAAATACCGTATTATAAAAAATTCCTGTTTTCAAGCAAAATATATACCACGTTAGGTGTATTTCAAAGTGATAGAATATGGAGGTACCACTGCATTTTGGTTCAGATATCTATTTGAAACATATCTTCTGTAAGAAACTTTCACAGGAATATGAGAATCAATTTTCCTTTATGTGATTTATCATCCCATCTCTTCTGCCTTTCAGTAACTCTAAGCATTTCGATTAAAGAAACTGACAGTAATGATGCAAGTTCAGTTTGATTGCATCACTAGTACCTACGTCTTTTAAACTACCTACAAACATTGGCATTACGATATGCTGATAATGCATCTTAATTTTCTTAAACAGCATTATAATATGTATAGAATATTTTAATATTAAAAGTTTAAAAATAATATTGATTCGAATGATAAAAAAACTCTCAACATTCCAGGTTTAAAACTTAAAAATACATATTACGAGATCTAACTATTCGGACCACCCAACCTTAAGTATAACCAACTGTAATTTATAATTTTAGCGGCATCTAATGAATTGATTCAAATATTTAAAGTTAAGATTTGATCTCATTATGCTTTTGTTATTTGCATGAGAAAACAAAATTATCAATCTTTATGCCGAAGCCTAATGAAAACTGGCAGCTTATTGTAAAATAATTTTTTTTTCTCGAACAATAGTTTTACACAATGTATGCTGTCCACTAAAATGTCCTTGTTCTCTCTAAAATAATGCGCATGAGTTAAAAATAAAGAAAAACCTTCAAGCGGTTTTTAAAAAATAGTAATTTATACTGCACTCTAATTAAAACATTTTTTACATTATTATATTCATAAAGACATGTACTTAATCTTCCAATTTCAGTTTACTTCTAATAAAACCAGACAGTTATAAATGGAGGAGGATAAAGGAAAACAGAAAAAGCTTTGTTTTTCTCCCTGAAAGAAAGCTCATGCATCCTAAAATAGCTTCAAATTGAAATTTTCTGAATGCAGAACAAGAGAAATAAAGTTCATTAATTCATATGTAACAATATTAATTCCATAAAAAATTAAATTTTTCATTAATTTACTTAAAATTTCTTTCTGTTCAAAATCTAATATTTTCGAAACAGTATAAATATGGATTTGTGATTCTTGGAAAATCCAGCTGCAGCTTGTGAACTTTTATTAAAACTACCATGTGGTTCCTACCATCAAGAAGTTTGGCCACCCCTGGAATACACTGTCCCTTGATACTGTGGTCTTTTAAAATGGTTATACTGTCCTCATGTACTAAATGGGGGGGAAACACCTTTTTATGTTCAATAATAAAAATCACTAGTCCAAGCAAATATGTATTCAGAATTAGTTTTTCCCTGGAACATTCATATTTAATTTCACATACTGTAACGAAAAAAGCTAAAGAAGATTTTGATAACTTTTACCTTACACTTAAGTGTTTTATTTTCCTATGAGTATTTTCTTACTTCTGAATTTTGGAGCTTTTAAACATTTCATACAGCAACAGAAACCAGATTGTGTCTAACAAGCTGTATGCATGACAATGCTTGGCTATGAGAATAAGTAAAATGCATAAGAGATAAAGCATAAGCATTAAAAAGAAGTCAGAAATAGCTATTCCTATACATGAATAACATGAACAAAATACTGAATCAAACTGTGAAATGCATTTTATTCAGCACACACAAAGGAAGGATGAAGATAAAGAAGAGGTAAATGAGCATAGTGAAAATTTTTAGACGAAAACGTTGCTTTGTGTAATTCTAATTTTGCATTTAATTCTAGTCTGAAAATAAATGAAAAAGCAGCATGTGTGGTAGCAGCTAGAATATGCACAGAGCTTCGAATGTGACATTTCTCTGGATGTTTTTCATTTAGCTGCAGCTGAAAAGGGCAATAAAATTGAAACACTGAAAACGCTTTGGCTAAGATCCAATCTATGCCAAAGAATGTAGTTTTCTTACATTTTGTTTTACTTGAAATGTCATTCTTTCCCCATTTAGGTGTTAATTTAATATGAATCAATTATTTACTTACAGCAATGCACTAATTTTTTAAAAAGTTATTTTATGCTATTCATTAAATTTACAAATGGTTAAATTCAATCATGAAACAACTGGTGATTAACATTTTTTCAAAATTCTTTGCTGTTACTTTTTAATTGGATGAGTTGTTTCATGAAAAACATATTTAAATAAAATTTCATTTTATAAGAAGTAGCATAATTTAAACTAAATGAAGACTCACCATAAGTTCAAAACATCTTTCCTTTATTTTCTGCACAGCAGAGTTGATATTTGGACATCCTTCAAGTTCTGAACTTAAATTAGTTACACATAATCTGAAAAAAATTCAACAAAATAATGCAAACAAGCATGGAAGCACAATGTAAAGAACAATTTAGTAATTTTATTATGCAGTAATTTTATTATACACTTCAGGGCTATTTGCTTTACAGTCGGCACTCCCTAATGTGGTTATGGTAATCATTTGGATACTATTATCGAATTGCCAAAGTCCTACCCACTTGTATAAGGGGAAGCATGAAAAATACATTGTTTGATAACAGCATGATCTCATCACCTAATATGATCAAAATATTATAGAATACACTTTTTTAACTAAAGCAAAATTGCCAAGTAAGTTCAAAATGGATTTAAAAAATTGCAAAGTGATAGAGAAAAGTTGACTAATAAGGGATTAAGTTTCAAAGAAATGGTTTTCATTTTAATTAGCCATTTAAAGTTTGATTTTAAAAAATAACCTCTTTTGCCTGATCTTAAATCCGACATTGGCATGTCCTTTTCCAGTTAGGGATGCCCTCTGAGTATTAAGGTTACAGTATCAATCAAACAATTTCTAGACATTATGAGTAGATGAACTTTTAATGATATTATGAGCAATTCATAAACCGATATCTTAATATTCTTAATTAAAATACTATGAAAGTACCCAGTTATATGTTTTTAGTTATTTATATCACATTAGTTAAATTCCATAGTCATTTTGAAGGATAAGTTTTCTCATCATGTAATGCTATCAAAATAGCGATGGACAAATATGATCACATTAAGTGGCACCTAGAAAGAAAGATCCTCATGGTAGATCACTTCACGCAAACTGGTCTGCAATGTAAATACCATGTAACACCAGTAACGTTCCAAGATATGCAAGTCAACAGTCCTCATTGTGAATGAGTGCGGGAAGAAGCACATATTCCACCAATTTTCTTAAGCTTTGTAATGTAATTTCCAAATGCTATCAAACATTAAATTACCCTTGCTTAGAAAGCCAAAAGTCCAGCAGCAGAATTCTCACTTATCCAAGTCTAAATACTTTCAAGCATTTTCTACCAAAATACATAACATTTGCCAGCTAGTAGTAGTACGGTCTTTTTTAAAACATTCAAGTGAATTTTCTTAAAATCTGCTCCTGAATTTCCTAAAATCTATGGACATTTTCCCAAAATTTTTGGAATGTACAAAGAAAGCTGCCTGCTAAGTAGATTAAAATTTTTAATTTTAAATTTTTTATCATGAGGTTCATTACAAGAAAAATATTTACAATTTTCTACATGCTAGGGAGTCCTGTGCCATTTTATTTTATACCATGACTATTCAAAGGAATACTCTTTGAACAACTTTCTATTCACAAACTATTACTTTGTTTAGATTGATGCTTCATTTAAATCTTTGGCAAATGGCCATTACTTTTCAACTAGAATTTAATTTATCAAAATTTAAAATTTTCTTAAGCAAAAGATGTATATTTTCAAGTTATTTAAAAAATTTTCTCTGTAGCAGGAGTTAGTACTAGAACCACAAAACGAGGCACACTAACTGCTGGCAAATTCTGCATCTTTTATCCAACAGCTGTGTCAATTAAATGATATTCGAGAGATAAATGTGGGTTCATTTCTAAAATGTAAGCTGACCCGCTGTATCACATCATTAAACTTCTTGATAAATATGGGATTCAAAGGAATAAATATATCATGAATACAGAAAAAAAATTATCTTTTTGTTTTAACTAAATTCTTCTCAAGGTGAGAAGTTTTGATTTCAATTAGCAACACATGCTATTGATGCTGCTGTCGAAAATGATACAAAAAATTCAGGGGACCTGTATATCAAACAAGCTAGTTTTTCTTCAAGCTAATGGAATTGCCAATAAAATAAAAAGCAGGTTAAGCTGCTAGCTATTTATGAAATTGAGCATTCTTAGAATGCTTGTGTTACTACAGGAGCTATCAGAGAAGAATTTTGAAGACTGAATATATTAAGTCAATATTTTTCTCTAAAAGCATCCAAAATTTAAATTATGATTTAAATTTTATAACAAAAATGCAATGTGACAATGGAAGTTTAAGCTTTTGTGAAGCTGAATTTTGCTACTTAACAAAAGATTGTAATTTTTTAACTTCATTAAATGAGCGCTCATGACATCAGTTCATTTCAAGAATTTGTTTAGTGGGTATAATTTAATCAACTGTAATCTGATTCAGAATGGGATTAGAGAACTTGCTGTTGCACTTGGCAACACATTAGGCTCTTAGAAAAGACTTTAAAAATAATTTTCAGCTGATCCTGCTATGAAACCAATTTGTTGTTTCTGTTTCTTCTTGCTATGCATTCAAAAATTAATACTGCTTTAGATAAACTTCTCACAAAGGATGCCACTGAAATCATCACAAACTCTGCTTGGTGAACACCAGTTGTTCCCATTATTAAACCATTAGGGCAAAATTGTTTATGTGGCAACCATAAAATCAATGCTGCAATAAAGCTTATCTAATGGTTAGTGTGAATAATTCATTATCTAATTAAAGAGGAGGTGTTTACTTTGCAAAAATCAGTTTGGCTAAAGCTTACCTTCAGCTTTTAGTCAAGGATAAATATGTTTAAGCTCAGAAAATTATTACATGAAGAACTGCTTACAAGTTTAAATCCTTGCTACATGAAATTAACTTTCTCTCAGACTATTTCAAAACCTTATTAATGACATAGCAAGCTAGAAGGTGTACATAGCAAGCTAGAAGGTGTTACTCTACCTTTTGATATGCTTACAAACTCTATGTTTTGAGGAAAGCTTACTGGCAGACTGTGAGAAGTTCAAATGCACCTTGGATAAACCTTGCATGCAAATAAAAAAAAATGTCAATTTGGTATTAAACAAAATAAAATTCATGGTATTCAGAATAAATCTAAAATCAAAGCCATACAGCCTGCTCCAGTTCCTATGTAAAAGCAACAGTTACAAGCATTTTTAGATTTATTAAATTTTTATCATAGTTTTCTTTAAGGTAATATTTGCAGAGCCTTTACAGAGCCTGCTGAGGAAAAATTGTCTGTGGAAATGGACTTCTCCACATGATAAGGCATGTAAAACTGCAAAAAATCTCTTTATTAAAAAAGAAAATGGACTTTTAATTAAAAATTACTGATAATCCTTATATGAGATATTTTACCATGTGGCTTAAGTTTTATCTCAAGTCATAAACCTTTAGATGGATGCGTAGTTCCAGATGCTTTTGCAACTCTAAATTCTACTGAAAGTAATTAAGCACAAATTGATAAGGAAGCATTTAGGTATACATTAAGAAACTTCACCATTTTCTGTATAGTTCATAAATTCACATTTGAGACTTATCATAAATCTCTTTTGAGAATTATGCAAAATTCAAAACATGTTCGCTTACATGTCGGAATAAACTATTATGCTACTTGCGCATCACAGACTTCAAGAGGCTAATAAAAATATTCTAAAGTATTCATTTGCTTGCTGAAACGATGTTTGGAACTTAACTCATCCTGGATGCAACAAGTTCTTGGTAGATGATTGGAGATCGGTTGTATCAAATGTCTAAGCAGCAGTCACGCAAAGTCGAGATTCCAACATGGTGGTATTTTGAGCTCTGAACTACCGCTCCATGACATCCTACATGTGGTTTATCGGTTAAGATTTGGCGAGTTACGTGGCCAGAATATTATTCATTCATTATCTTTATTGCTGGGATGTTGCTGTTTTAACGCAACGTTAGACATTAATTGGAATTAATCCTTATGCTCATCAAACCACGCCAACACAATTCGAGCCTTGTGACATTAGGCGTTGTCCTGCTGGAAGATTCCGTTTTAAGTTCTAACGACAGATATCATGTTTGAGAGCAAATGATTTGCAGTTATGTCCAGATACCACAATTAAGGGTCCCAGAGCCAGCCATGAGAACGTATCCCAAAGCATAATACCACCACTAGCATGTGTATGACCTCTTGTACAAGGTAAAGTAACTGTTTGCCTGGAAGACAGAAACTGTTTGCCTGACAAGACCATCAAAGTAATGAATGAGAAATCATGATTCATTCGACCAGACAACCCCCAACTGTATTCCACTTATCCATGGTTCAGTCTCGATGTTCCCGGGCACACTGTAGGCATATTTGAATATGTTTGGTCAATAGAGGCACACAATTGGGATATCTGCTGCACAGTCCCATATCCAACAAGGCCTGCTGAACTGTGGCCTCTGAAACACTTGCACTTAGACCTGCACTGTATTGGGCTGTCAGCTGAGCTACTGTTTGGTGCCGATTTTGTTGTACTAAGAGGGACAGTCTCCAACGTCCCTTTTTTTTATGACACATGGACATTCAACACCTGAGGATCTACTGCTGGTTTTAGCATCATTTATCCACTTTGCATAAATACTAATGACTGCATATCCTGAAAAACCTACCAATCATGCAGTTTTGGAGATACTCATTTCGAGTCTTTGGGCCATTACAATCTGCCTTCTATAAAATTCGCTTAGATCAGCAGCCTTTACCATCACTAGCAAAAGTAAGCACAAGAATGATTCCTTACCTTTTCTAGCAGTAGTTAAATGCCATTTCCACGTAATTATGTGCTCTTCACATCATCCAGACAAGTTAACTGAAAAATGTGGAGATGGTCATAATGTTTTGGCTTGACAGTGTATAGTGCCCAATAACAGATTCTGGCATCACAAATATGGTTAAAGAAATGCATCTTGATCCTGCCAATGATTTACGAGCCCAGCAAGAGCCCTTTATACATAAGAAACTCGTAAAAACATGAACACAGAACTTTTAGTCAAAATGAGCCTGTCATATTGACATATATGTCGCAGATTCAACATGGATAACAGCTATGGTTAGAATTTTTAAGTCCCCTTATATAAAGTTTAAACTCAGTGGTGAGGTTGCCAGTTGAAATATGGACCAAATTTCATCTCAGTGTCCATCTGGACAATCTGTAACCTTTCCTGAACTCCTAAGTCCCATTAAAGCTGGCAAATGCTGCACTATTACTTTGGAATCTACTATTAATGAATAAGCTTATGACCCTGAGCATCAAATCAGAGTGTGCCTATTTTAATATACTGTTAAACCCAAATGTCTAGAAGATTTTATTACCAGTTAAGGGGAAGAAGTATAATGAGTTGCATGTCATGTGACAACATAGACTTCATCCATATTGTTTTATGATTTATATCTGCTATGTTGCAACTCAAACTAATCATATATTTTTTAATGGCTATGTTATTAAACTTTGCTCTGCACGTTTAATTTTAAATTGTGTTAGTTAAATGATGTTCAAGAGATACTGGTATGACAATTTCTAAAATAAAAGTTGACCACTATGCTACATCCACAAAAAAAGTTAAACCATTATCTGAGGAATAAGATGGTTGATTTTATCACAAAACTTAAAATTGTTTTAGAAAAAGGAAGCAATTAATCAAAAGACAATATTAAGTAGGCAGACTTAAATGGATAAATATTTTAGTAAGTAGCAAAGCATTTTACTGAGGTTAGTTAACAATATTGATAATTTTATAATTAATTAGTTTACCCTTTACAAGATGGATTATACTTTAAAATTTTATTTGTCATTTAAAAATTTATTTTCTCCAAGCTTTTATCAGATTACTATATTAGTAATATACCTATTCTTTGCAGTTGGGAAAGGGGTTGAAAAAAGTATTAAAAAGTTCCCAAGCGGGTTAGAGCCAAAAAAAGCCAAATCCATTCATAGCAACAACAAAGATCTGGTATCATCCTCTATATCAAACAGACTGTTTTTGGAATGCACTTTAGTTTTCCTGCGATTTCCCATAATTTCAAAAAATACACTTGATACTGATTACTGTTTCTATCATTCATATCAGTATTTTGATAAAATGAAATGAAAATATTGCTGTTTTTATACCAATTTTTTACAGTGTTCATAGCAATATAATAAAAAAGGTATGCTAAAAGGGAAAAAGTTTCTAAAGATTACTATATCAGATTTTGTATTTAATGATTCTTGATCAAAGTTTTAAACTGTTTCTATTTTTAAGATTTTATTGATACATAAACTAAGTTGGAAAAAATGTAATCATATCAAAATGAAAATGACATTAATGAAAAGAAATGAGCTCTAAATGCAAAATTTATCCTAAATATTATGAAAAACAAAGCACTTATATAAAACAGAAAAACCTGATTTCATTACAGATAATTATCTGCAAGGAAAAAAATTATAGAATATTATAACAAGGAAAGATATCAGATAAATAAAAATAAATGCATACTAAATGAGAAATTTGGAAAAAAAATGCATATAAGAGACATGACTTCTTAAAGTGAGTTAACAAAGAAATAAAATCCCACTGGTAAAAATTCTTTAGCCTTTTCAGCAGTTTTATGCAGACATGAACTTTTAGAATTTAAAAATAAAAACTGTTTAGTTTACAATTTAACTTTGTACCTTTAGAATATTTCTTATACTTTTTTTAGATAAATTCCTTCCAGATTATGAAAACATATGTCAGACAGAATAAGCTCCAAAAATACACTAAAAGAGGAGCGAAATAAAAAATGCATATTTAAGAAAATTTATTCAATAGAAATTTAATAAGCATTTATTCCATAAATTTCCCCCAAAATGACATAGCAAATACTAAAGAAAATACACTTGTCATAAACCTAGTACCCTAAACATTAAGATGCAATATGAAAAAATTAATAGCACATTTCACAAGACAAGTTACTGAGAGAACATAAGAAAGAAATAAACCAACTTACACTACTTCCTCATGTAAAGCATTAATTTTTTCTCCCAGCATTTCAAATTTTTCTTCCACCTATTAAAAAAATAAAATTTGAAATAATGCAAAAATAAAACTTAAAGAAAAGGATTAAAAAATTCAGATAATATGAAAAAAATTAGATTAGAAATTATGCAGCACTAACAAAAGCTAATCAGATACATTAAAATATGTGTCTCGACTTATGAAACCACTTTTACTCATCTTAGCCTTTTTCTGCAGTGTTTGCACACTAGAGATTTGCAAGTTGTATAACATTTTATGCAAATTTTGTTTCTGCTAAATTTCCTCATGCAAAATTTAAATTCAAGGAAAACTTATTTGTTAAACATAAGAGAATTTTTGCAAATCTACCTTATTTCACATAATCAATCAGCAATGCATTCTGTCTGAAAATAAAGAGCTAATTATATGTCAGTAGCTTCCTCTTACTAAATAATAATGAAAAACATTATGTCCATGACAAAGAAGACATTATAGAATCCTTATCTAAAAATTCAGAAAAATTTTCTTCAGTCTTTAAATTCTTGCATACATATTCATTGCTTGAAAACTACTACATGCTAAATAAAATATAAAGACATATTGGTTTAATATAAGCTTTCATACTGTTAAGGAACACAAAAGTTTTTAACTTTCAATAATTAAACTTTTTACCCCGTGCTTATTATAATTTTATTTTAACAGCTTTAGAACTTTCAATTTGTTTCAAGACCTGAAAACTGACAGAGTTGAACAAGCTAGAGTTGAAAGGTGCTCAGTGGAAAATAGACAAAAAGATTAAAATCTGTGAAAATCAGGAGTGGAAGAGAAGTCAGGCCTATCCAAAGATTAGATATCTGAAGTTTAATTTCGTTCTTTTATCTTTTACTTTTAAAATTTTATATTCATTTTCAAAAAGTTTTACTCTTTAAAATTTTTAATAGTTTAAGTTGTTTCCCAACAACTTAAGGTGGGAGAATTGTGAATTTCAGATCACACATAGTTTGTATTTTACACATACTTTCCATTAATTTTATTTACTTAACTTTTTGGCTACTAATAACTCTTGCTAGTTTTGGGTCTTGGAAATGGCAACAGAGCAGCTTATAGAATTAACAAAAATATGTGAATGTTATTAAAAGAATTTTTTTTTTTAAAATTTACATGAGGGATGTATTTAATTAAGATGCAAACCTATTTTTAACAATAATACTATAGAATATGCTTATTAGGCTCTAGAGTTCTTCACACTCTAGTAGCATAATAGTTCATTTTGACCCATAAGTGAACAGAGGACTTTCTAAGGGAAACTGGCATGTACATATGTTACACATCGGGAAAACCATGAAAACGTCCATGCTGCCAGCCGATTTACCCAGAAGCAAATCCAAGTCGGAACCATCAGTGTTCAGCGAGTTCACAGCTTGGGCATTAAATGATTTAACCCTTTGAGGTTTGATGCATAAAAAAAATTCAAAAAAAGTAACTTGACACCTAGATAATTAACCTTTAATACAATGCTACTTCATGATGCAGTGCAATACCACTTGTCCCACCGCACATCTAGAGCAATGAAATGGTGCCTTTCCCTGAGTGTTCCCCTAGCATGCTTATATGCATGCTAGAGGAATTAAATATTTGGTAATGGTAATTTAATTGGTCCTTCTTTGAACTATGCTAGAGTGCAGTAATTATAAGACAACCATATCATATGGAGACCTTCTACATATCCAGAAAATGAACTAGTCAGTCAATTGTCTGGGACCGAACCCTACTGATCCTTTCTGGCAGGTTGCAGCTTGCCTGATTCTCAAACTCTTAATGAACTACAAATTAGACAGAAAAGGGCATGCATTAGATCCAGATGTCATTAGCAGACATGTGATGAGTACATGTAAACTTTAATAATATTGTGTACTATATTCTATGTTGTTTTTATAATATAAATTTTGTTTTATTTAAAAAAATAATAAGTATAAAGCTTTTTTGAACATAAGCGTAAGGGCCGAAGGAATGTATAAAAAGTCATATTTTGTAACTTTTTAAAACTTAATGTCAAAACATAAATGTTTGTGTCACTTAATTTTAATATATATCTATGATGAACAGCTACAAAAATAAAGGTCAGGTAAGAACTTTTGTGGACACAGTGTGCATATATATATATAGATATAGATATAGATATAGAAAGATAAAGTGTGTATATCACAAATATGCTGTTTATATGCATATTTCTATTTAAAAATCCATATCCAAAGCTGCAATTAAGGTGATAACGATAGTAATATTTGAAAACTAACATGATATTATTGATATGATCAAGTTATGGCATGAAGATGAAAACAGTGAAAATAACTAAAAATTAAGAGACAGTTAAAGGTTAATGCTGATAAATTTTGAGCACTATGAACAAAATGAGTACTTTTAGCTTTAAAAAAGTGTTAATATTTGGAATTAAATATTTGGTAATGGTAATTTAATTGGTCCTTCTTTGAACTATGCTAGAGTGCAGTAATTATAAGACAACCATATCATATGGAGACCTTCTACATATCCAGAAAATGAACTAGTCAGTCAATTGTTATTGAAATCTATTTTCGCTTTAGTAAAAGATCAATAAAATCATGAATATATTTTTCTAAAAAAGTGAAGCTCATAAAATGATTGAAATCCATTCATAAAATGAATAATAAAATAGACCTTTGCAAGTAATAATATAGTATAGTATCAGTTTTCCAATAACTTAAAATTTTAAAGCATAAAATAGCAATAATGAAAGTCACTTAAAGATGACAAATCACAGATGATGGGGGGAACTGAGCTTTACAATTTGTACAGACTGGTACAAGCCTTTAGCAAGCAGTGACATATCAACAAATGAGTTAAAAAAAAGCTTTCAAAGTGATATATACTCAAGTTCCAGATATATAATTGTAAACTCATTGATATCTACACAACAGCTGCCTTGAATGATGAAGTTTTTGTTTGATAATTTTTAATGCTTATACAGAATATGGCTTTATTAGAAATTTTATCTACAAACATAGTAGCAAAATCAGCCAAATCATTTCCTCTAATTTCGATATGGTCAACCATCCCAAAATAAGAAATATAGTAACCTTTTAAGATTCCAAATTTCAGCAATCAAAGAAATTTGTATAATCACATGCAACTTTCAGAAACACAAAATATTTAATAATTTCCCATTTTATTACTAGGATACAAGTGGCTTAGCACTGTACACAGTGTGTATCAAAAATGTAGTGACAAACGTTTAGGGGAGGTAAGACATGAGGACTAAAAACTGCATAGCAACCCATGACCAGAAACATCATCGTATGCCACTAGGTGCTGCTCTGTATGACAGCGCTGGAAGGGAAAGTGAGAATTTCCTCATTTGAGCAGTATCCAGCATGCAAAGGTATACAAACGGTAAGCTTGCACACATGAACTTAAGTTGAGGCCACTGGATGAGCTGCTGAATCAATTTACTTAGTTAAATTACTGATCCCAGGTAGATAAGGGTTGCACCCCAGTATGTTTGCATGTGTGCATCAAAATTTGTGCGAGCACAGGTTAGACAAGTGAGAGTATGTTGCATGATGTGGAGATTAATCTCAGTACCAGCATATATGATGTTGCCTTTGTCTTAACAGTATCTCTTTGCAGTGTATGGTATGTTCTGAATGAAGACTCCTTTCATTTCCAGAGGGTTCATTTATTGCTCGCTGATGATCATCCCGCACATGTGTTTCATACAGTGGTGTCTGCAACAGTGTCCAAGATGTGAATTTCCCAGCTTATGTGTTGTTAACTGATAAGGCCACAATCAGCATGGATGGCATATTCAGTCAGCACTACGTGCATTTATGGGCTCAAGAGAACTCCCACGGTGTACAGCACAACATTGTTTTTCAGTAAATGTGTGGGCAAGTTTGGTCAGAGACTTCTTAGTCGGGCCCGAATGACTGCTGCGATCTGTTTATTGGAGCCTTCCAGAGCAAGTTCTCCTGGTTTACTTGACGATGTTGGAGCAAATCTGAAGCACATGTGATTCTAACACGATGTGGTACCTGCTCATTTTAGACTGGTTGTTCGTAGGCATTTGAATTGGCTGTTCCAGCATCAACGGATTGGGCTTAGTGGACTGGTTCCCTGGCCCTCACGCTCACCTGATCTATCAACCCTTGATTTCTTTCTGTGAGGAGTCGTCAAAGCTATTGCCTATCACAATCCTGTGACGTCTGAAATGAATCTCACGACAAGTCTCATCTGTGTTGTGGCTACGATCCAAGAAACTCCCAGTGTTTTTGACCATGTTCAGCAATCAATGTTCCATCAATGGTATAAAAACACAATAGAATTCTGATAATCTGTGACTGTTCAATCTGCAAATACCTGGAATTTGTGCTTATTTTTTAATGTAAACAAATAAAATTTCTATTTTCAGACAGTACTATAGCTACAATAGCTACTGATTTAAGAGACTTTTTGTTTCCATTTTAAAGTTAACATCTTCCGTAAAACCTTTTTTTGTAGTAATCAAAAAGATAAATCATTATTTTTAGGTGAATTCACTCTTTTAATATTAACTTTGAGTTTATATGTTTAACATGTGTAAGGAATTTATTTTCCACAACTTTTCAGATGTTGAGTTTCAGACGGTATGCACTCTATAACTGAATTTTTTTTTTTTTTTAATTCTGTGACAAGAATGTGCCTTTGTTTACATTGCCAGATAGCTGAGACAGATTTAAAAAAAACAGCCATTAGAGATTTATGGAGTGTTAAAAGTCAAAAACATGGTAACAGCAGATTTTTTTTTTAAACAAAAAAGTAGAAATTTTTATTTCATTATGGCAAAGCTGAAGTTAGACAAAATAATCAACCTTAGTTTGCCACAGATTGTGAATACAACTAAAAATCCAAAATTACAATTCAAGCACTTGCAAGCTGCTCGTAGTGATATTAATGTAACAACAAGTTTGGGACATAACGGTGGATTTAGTATAGTGATTCAATTTGAGAAAAGCTGTGCTAAGAAAACATAAACAGTAAGCGTTAATTAATAAATTCACCTAATTTTCTTACTTTAAAGGCATAAAAGTTATTTAAAAAGTAATTACATAGGTGAACATACAATTTTTCTTTCACATAAAATATTTTGTTTTGATGAAAGAGCTATTCAAAAATTTCCCTATCACTTATTCCTCATTCTCCAAACAATGTCTCTCCCTTGCATTGACATCTTTGTGCATAAATAATTTAATTTCATAGTCAGCAAATCCTGATTAAATTATATCTGAAGTTTGATTTTAGTTACTTATGTACAGGTAGTGCAAATTTAATATAAAATTAGAAAGGAAAGAAATGTAAACAAAACTCAAAAACATGGTAACCCACAAAATTCACTAATCCACACAAAACCTGGTCCCAATGTATGCAAATTGTCAGAATTCTACTGTATATATACATATAAGAAGTTTTTCACAGTATATAGACTTTAATAAAATTACTCAAAAATATGGCAATCAGCAAAGAAATTTTTTTCATAGAATGCTATGTAGTTAAGAATATTTATATCTATATTCATCAGGAATAAATCTGTATATTTTACGAATCGCATTCTTTTATTTCATTATGGCAAAGCTGAAGTTAGGCAAAATAATCAACCTTAGTTTGCCACAGATTGTGAATACAACTATTGATTTCAAGGGTGATCAGAATCTGTATTCATTGTTGAATATGGCAAAGCCTATGAAGGCTATCTACCTAAGGGAAGGGAAGCCTTTATAGAAGACTTTCCAAAGGAAACTGTTCATGCTCATGTAGGAAAAACCATAAAAACCAATGATACACCCAGCCCATTTGTCTGAGCTCAAAGGCATTAGGAAAAACTCTATTGGAATTATTATAATATAATACAGAACAAATTTTTATGAATATGAAAAGCTGCAAGAAATTCATTTTACCAAATGAAGTTTTATGGATAATTCTTGTAGAACCAAAGTCAAAATTATGATCGCATGTTTAAAAATGACTAGATGTCAAAGATTTGTGACATTCAAAATATAAGATTAAAAGAACTTCTGATAACTAGAAGGAATTTGCTATCTGTTGTAATAATATGTTTTATCTAATAGGAATAAGTTGCTCTTTAACTCTTCTACCCAAATTATTTTTGCATAAGACCTGGGATGGAAAAATTGAGTTTAGATGCTGATCTTCAAAATGATACTAAAGAGAAAGTTTTAAAATAGGTGAACAATATACCTTCCTCAGTGAAGATTCCTAGATGCATTAGATGATGCTCTGTTATACAATCAGCCCACTTTCACTGGTTCCTCAAAAAAGTCATACACAGCCATAGTTTAGTTGAAAAACTAGGGAGCAATTTAAAGTGCAGCTTCCTAAAGAGAAGTCTAGAGTAGCTCTGCTGAAAAGTGCACAATCCCAATAGCCTGTTTCATTGGAACTAGACCAGCTTCATTCGTGAAAAAAATCTTGGGATTTAGAAAGATTACTACTGTACAGAAAAGGGGAAAATGCAATGCTAAACAGTTAAAGATAAAATGGTGATGAAAAGGCAGCTACGTTTGATTGGGATTGCTACATTCACACTCACCAACATAAGAATGAGATTAAATAATAAATATTAAAAACAACACAAATTATTACAAAAATTTAAACTATTACAAAAACTAATAAACTTTTGCTCTTTAGCAGCTGAGGATGATGGTTCGGTAAAACTATTGAAACTCGTCCTGTGAAAAATTGTCAATATAAAACTGATTTTTGTTGTTTGACTTCTAAATTAAACTACAGTAAGACCCCGCTTAACGTTGTTTCGGTTTAGCGCTCTTTTATTTCAACTTCGGGATTCCCCGAAATTGCTCGCAGCGTGAACTACGGGGATTCCTCGAAATTGTGCGTAGCGGTAGGTTTCCAAATAACATATCCGAAACTTTGTAGTTATGTTTCTTGTTTGGTGCGGTGAGGTGCTGTACGGAAGCATTTTTATCATTTGAAACATTTGTTGACATTATTGTAAGTATAAATTTACATAATACTATAACGATTAATACAGTGACAAATATTACGAGCTTTACTTTTTATCATGGGTGATAATAAAAAACAAGAAAAGAAAGCAACCAGAAAAAGCATTTCACTGGAAACTAAAATGCAAGCGATTAAAGATTAGATCCTGGTGAAAGTCAATCTGAAATTAGTGCTGTATTGAATTTGGCAACTTCAACAATAAGGACAATTCTTAAGAATAAAGAAAAAATACTGTCATCGGCAACTGCAACTACGTCAAGTTCTGCAACTAGAATTATCCGTTCTAGAAATAACATTATAGAGGAAGTGGAAAAACGACTGTCTATATGGATTGACGACGAAATTGAAAGCAATATGCCATTAAACCAATCTATCATAATGCCTTCTTGAAAAAAAAAAGCAGAAAATTGGAAACACAGAATAGACTGAATGATCTGACTGGCTTAGAATTTTATTTGTTTTTATAAATATATTCGTTTATATTGTTTTTATTTTTGTAAGAAATAAATGTTTGGTTTTATTTTTATTAAAAAAACATTATTAAATTTAATACCTAACCAATTTTCTATCCATCTTCCCCTAACTCCATTATTTACATGTTAAGATAGCCTCGTTTAGCGCTGTTTCGCATTACGCTCTACTTTGATGGAACGGATCCCCCGTGTTAAGCGGGGTCTTACTGTATTACATATTTTGAAAAAAGAAAAAAAAAAAAAAAAGAAATTACTTGAATTTTATTTTCCATGAGGTTAGCAATTTTTTCTAGGGCAGCCTGAAGCTGGGTTTGCAGAGTCTTGATGTTTACTCTCAGATCTGAATTTTCAGAACTGTCCTTTATTACACCTGTACTTTGTAACTCATATAGCTGCGCTTCTAATAATCTGACCTGTAACAAAATACATCCAAATCAAGAAACAAAACAAGGAATAGCTCAAATTATAACTACTTCAAAATTGTTTCAGAAATTCTGGTATATTTTAATGCATACTTTAAAATGCAGATTAATAATACTTGTAAGAAGAGCTTTACAAAAACAATAATATAGTTTATATTTTTTTAGTCTACTAATTAATCATTTTACCCAAATTTATAGTTACTCATAAACAGTAGTGACATCTGAAAATTTTAACAAAGATTTACACTTTATCCTATAAAAGAAACTATCAGATTACAATAAAAAGTTTACAGTACAATCTCAAGTAACCAACATTCAGTCGGTAGTACTAAGTTCGAAATGAAGCAACTGTAATGTAAAAGCTATGTAATGAAAAATTTCGGCAACACTGTTGTATGTAAAGTCATGCTGAATGCCCACACGTATACTCCATTATATCACTATTCCTCCCCGAATATTCCCAATGGCTTAAGATCACACGCCTTGTTTTGTAAACTCCACAGATGAAAGGGAAAGAACTTGCAAACTGGATGAGCTGACTAAACTAAATAACGCAGATGAAGTGTCAGGGAATGCATTTACAGTGCAGTTTGAAATAATTGTGGATGAAAAGAATGTGACTGTAGAACAAATATATATTGCAGATGAGTATAGATTGTTATGTGATGTTTCCAAATGTTAAATTTGGTTTGTGTAACAGAAATCTCTCTTAAGGGACTTAATGTATGGTATGTAAAAATGCTGCATGTACTATAATGTTCCTTTATGTCAGCATGATGTTACTAAGGCTTCCATTGTATACACAGTGGATTTTTAAAATTGCAACTATCTTGTAAGCAAGCATTCAAAGTTACAAATCACCACACACACAATTTGGCAAGTTTTTTCAGAGGGGAATGAAAAAAGAATAATGACTTGGAATTGAAATAAAATATTTATTTCATTCATGTATGTTTTTAATTTGAATTAGGTATTTAGCATGAAAAATAAGTCAGTAAACTTACTTAAATGCAAATTTTGTTCCTTTTGTTTTTGGAACAATCACTTTACAAATGGATTTAATGCAATTGTTACCTTTAAGCCTTTTTTTGTTTAAAATTTTTATATTAATGCAAAAATTTTACTGCAGTTTCCTCCACTGCAAGCAAATCGCCCAGCTGTATATTTTAAAGCTAAGTTTACGGAGAAAAAATTACAATTTTTTTTCATAAACGCTATTTGAATACATCAAGAACACACATGAAAATAGCTACATTGCTTGCTTAAACTGATAAATTGCTACTGGCATTACTGTCAGAGTTTCGCACATTTTAAAAATTTGATGGCTTCTATTAAAATGGTTGAATTAATTACTATCAAAATCTTTAATTTACATGTGTTAGTAATTTTAAAATCCTTAGCTTTGTTTCCCTGAAATATAAAATTATTTACATGTGGTTTAATTTTTAATAATCTGTACAGTTTTCAATATTATTTATTTAATTGCAGCTGATGGATCAAAAACAAGGACAAAGTACTTGGCACACTGCAATTTTTAGAGATGGCACCACAAAATATTAAAATTTAAATTCTAGAAACATATATTCAATCCAAAAACATTTCATTTGGAATCAATAAAATCTGGCTGCTGCTGGTTTAGAGAGATACTAAATTTTTTACAAAAACAGAAAATACAAATAATTATGCATTAATATGAAAACATTTTAAAACTCATCCAAGCTTTATAAAAAAAAGTAATTTGTAATAATTTCTGTACAGTACTGATTATATAGGTCTTTTAAAATTTCTTATTTAGGAATTGTTTTAAAATAATCCTTATGTTTTATTTAAAATTTCAAAATGCTTGGATAAGGCTGGATAGTTCCTCCACATATCAAGAGCATTACTAAACGGCATGTTGCCCATCATGGTCTAACATACCCTGCCCATTTTTAATATTTTGTTACACAGATCTTTACCAAACTCATTTTATTCTTGCTGATTCTTGGAGAATTAGTGATAAAATGCATACAATTTCTCGAAAAATATTTCAAAATGACTCATTACATTAATATTTTTTACTAAATTTCCTAATGCAAATTGTAAATGATTAACTACAAAATTCCAAATTACAGTGATGGGAAATTTTTGTAGAAATTTGATTGCAACTCTTAGTTTTCTTCCCAACATTATACTAACTCTGTTGGAACAAAATGCAATTAAATGTCTTCTCAAATAGTTTAGCAAAATCCAAACTCATTAAAAAATTAATTATTTAATGTGATGATGTGTGCATTCAGTGGGAAAAAATAGTTGCAAATAAAAAGAACAAGAAATTGCAGACTATCCACAAATTCAACAAAAGGCTCCTGCAAGTTCCCAAAAGTTCACTGCTGCTAATAAATATTTTTAAAATTAATTTTGAAATTAAAATTTCACTATAGAAAATATAAAAATCACACCTAACTGAAGAAAAAGTTATCTGATATAAATTAATTTTAACAGAAGTGCTTTCAGTGATTAAAACTATTGCCTTGTTTAGTTGCAACTATATTAACTGTGTTTCATAAAGGCTCTAGAAAGAATTAACTTTTATAGGTGCTGAATATTTTTCATCACGGCCATAGAATAAGTCATATAAATACTGAAAGTAAGAAATAATAAGCCGCATAATTATTTTCTGCTTTCTTTTTAAATAAATAACTGACGTGAGTATACTGATGATGCAAAACAACATAAATATTCATTGCACAATAGAAATGAGGATTATTCATACAATACATTTCATAAATTATGAATTATAAAACGTCATTTTCTCTTTTAAGCATTTATCTTTCGGAAACTCTGGCAGCTGGAAATTTCAGCATCAAGCTGAATACCTGTTTTATTTGCAATATGATTAGTTGACTGATTTTTGTCATTACAGACCAAATTACTCAAAGTACTGAACTAAGAGTTTTATGTTCCTGAAATTAGAAAATTAAGAGAGTTCATGTAATACACTGTTTGACATTGAAAATGGAACACCAAGAAGGAGTGGTCAGAAACTAATGAAATTTGGAAAAAAAGAAAGAGACAGCAAGCAGCAATAAGTGATCTTTATTTCAAAATGATAGTCAGAATACAAAGCGAGAACGGCGTCAGCTCAGTAGGATGTAGAACCACCGTGGACAGCGATGCACGAAGACACACGTCTAGGCATAGAGTCAATAAGAGTGCGGATGGTGTCCTGAGAGATGGCTCTCCATTCCCTTTCAACCATTCGTCACAGTTCGTCTTCTGAACGAGGCAGGGGCAGAGTCTGCAAACAGCGTCCAATCACATCCCACACATGCTGGACTGGTGACAGGTCAGGAGAGTACGGTGGCCAGGGAAGCATCTGTATACCTTGCAGAGCATGTTGGCAGGTGCGAGTACTGTGTGGTCGGGCATTAACCTGCTGAAAAATTGCATTAGGCAGCCCCTGAAGGTAGGGGATTGCCACCTTCCGCAGTACATTATCCAAGTATCGTTGGGCTGTCATAGTGCCCTGAATACAAACTAAAGGTGACCTGGAATCGTAGGCAATAGTGCCCCAAACCATTATGCCATGCTGTCACGTGGTGGGGCGTTCCACAGTTACTGCCAGATTAGATCTGTCTCCACGTCAACGCCACACATGTATGCGGCGACTGTCACTGGATAAACAGAAGCATGACTCATCTGAGAACACAATGTTTCGCCATTCTGTCATCCACATTGCTCCAGTCCGGCACCATTCTAAACATTGGCGTCTATGCTGTGGGGTCAATGGCAGTCTTCTTAATGGATGCCGTGAGTGCAGGCCACGTTCAACCAATTGGCAGGAAATGGTTCTGGTCGACACGGGAACATCCAGGGTATCTTGCACATGCTGCAAAATCGTGGTACAAGTGACTTGCGGGAATGTCACAGCTTGTCAGCAGATGCGTCGATCTACGCGTGCTGACGTCACTCTGGCTGCACCTGCACCCCTCTTTCTTCCCACATTTCTTTGTCGCAACGGATGTTCGCCATAGCCGATGCAACCGTGCTCACATCCATGTGGGTATCAGCTGCGATTTTACGTAAGGACCAACTCGCTCTTCTCCGTCCGATCACCATACCCGTCGTAAAATCGTCTATCTGCTAGAAGTGCCTTCGTTGACGGCGACCTGGCATTCTCTCCTATTACACGTATCCTCCGGGACAAAAACCAACTTTCTTCGATAATTCGTCTGACAGAAATAACAACATGAATATTGCCCATTCTGCATGTTCCTTCCCTTATATCTTACTTCACGTGCGTCGGAGAGCTGCACATTTTACATCATTCGCATAACTCAGTGATGTGCATTTGCTCTAAAATTTGCATAAATTTCTGACCACTCCTTCTTGGTGTTGTATTTTCAATGTCGAGCAGTGTATATACAATTTGTCCAAGATCACAAATTTAAAGTTGATTAAAAAAATGCACGATAATCTGTCACATTAAGATGCAATTTTATGGTATTTATCAGCGAAAAGGAGGGGATAAGATGAATATGTAGTTCTAAGCAAAATACAAACTTTACATACCTCAATTCTTTATGCTCAAAATCATTATTGAATTATTATTGCTATTTACAGAAACAAGGGAAATATAATCCCGAATTTCACCAGATTTTTTTTAAAATCTTTTTTGTGTTTTTGAAAAGGCATATGGTTTGCACACTTTATTTAAAACATGAAAAATTATGGTTCTTTTAAATTTTTTAAAAATTATTAATACTAAAACCCCATTAGCAAAATGGTAATGAAAAATAATACAGACTCAATTAAACTGAAAAACCATTCAATTACAAATTTCTAAACCATCTTTCTTAAAAAAATAAAAGTTAGTCCTATAGTATATGAAAAAATAGTGAACTGCAAAATGTTTGATGAAGATTATATTTAATTACCTATACTCATTGATGAATTATGATACTTAAAATTTTCTATGTACTAGGGAAGTTTCAAGAAGTAAACTGTTAAAATAGAGGTGTGAGTATTTCTATAATTTATATATATATATATTATATATATATATATATATGCATTGTATCTATACACACACACACTAATTAACATTCCAAAATGGGCAATTACTTCTGGCAGCTATTACAAAAAATATTTCTGAAACCGGAAACTTAGTGATTATTTAAAGGATAATGAGTTTGCTTTTTTTTTCATTTCTTCATCATTTTTTTTAATTTCATATATTTTATAAACTGTATTTTTTTTAAAATTTCTCTTGCTTTACTACTAATTTTCATCATGCACTATCTTATGCTTAACTTCAGCTGTTTGACATCTGTCTATTTCAAACTGAAGTTATTTTCTCGCATAACTTCACATTTGATTAATAATTTAGAAAAGATCATTTTCAAGAAAAAATTCTTTTTCATTTTGTTATTACAGATACATTTTAAATAACTGTCCATTATTTCATAGTTTGTGAAAATAACCCTGGTTACAGACTATTTGAAAACAAGGAGGACAAAAATAAGACTGCTCCAGTTACCACAGATAAATAGGTCTCTGTGTTTTAGCAATACAAACTGAAGCACATAAAAATAAGCAAATGCAGAGTGTTATCTTACAGTAAATATTGCAAACTTTAAAAGGTTTTCCACAATTAAATACACATTTATGTCCATACCCTATCTTTTAATTTCTGTATCTGAACTTCAGGAGGATCATTGTTTACAACAGGTGTGTTTCTGATTCTTCTAGCTCTTCCAGCATATCGTAATGTATTTACCGTTTCTTCAGTGCTCTCAGGTGATGGATTCACACATGCTATCAGTAATGTATGGCAGTTTCCACCAAGGGTATCTGAAAGAAGATAAATTCTATAATAATTAAGGCGGTATTAAGACAAATGGGAGAAAATGGAAAAAACAAAAACTTTACCCATAAGCAATCTAGTCAATTTTGAGTCTCGGTAAGGTATGTGAGATTTTCCCTCAGCTAATGCACTAATGACATTTCCAAGAGATAGAAGTCCTAGATTAATATTAATTCCTGAAACAGAAATTATAATAAATAATATTAACATTCAAAATAACACAATCTAAATCAAAGTTCATCTAAATTCCTACATTAGTAAAGCTTATGAAAAGAACTTCCTAACTAGGTCTAAAAAGAACTTGCAAGCCATTTATGAACAGTTAAGAAAGAAAAGGCATATGCCAGAAGTGATGCAAAAAACTCCATCATTGCCATCAGTAATGCTATATGATTTAATAAATGTTCACCGTGCAAAAAAAGGGAGGATAGTTCTATATCTCCCGTTCTACTGGCCCGATTGACAAAATTTAACTTGCGTTTTTCATATAAAAAAAAGGTGAAATTTAGCATATGTATTAGATTTATATATAGCATTATTCTAATATAGGCATTTTGATACAAAATTGGACTTTTCTGAAATCACATGCCAATTTTTTTCCATATTTCGATTCTACAACTGAAATTATGACAAACTGCCATGCTTTGTAAAAACCGCACGAGTAGTTTTTAAAAAATCAGCTCTTAAAATTTTTGTTCCTCAATGTAAATTGAATTTGATTCTTCCTTTCATACTTCGAAATGAGAAATTTATCCCAAATAAATTGCCTCTTTTTTACAATTTATTTTTTAAATTTGTATTTTTAAATAATTTTTATAAATTTTTCAAAAAAATTTTGAATTATAATTTATAAAAGTTTTACCATCATCTTAATGTAGATGTATTTTTCTAAGCACATCTGCAAAAAATTAGAGTTTTTTATTCAAAATTTCCTAAGATATATGTGAATTTATGTTTTGGCGTATTTGTTAGCAGCAATAATGAAAATGGGGTTTACGCAGTTTGTTAAAATTATTTGAAAGTATTGTTACAGCTTTTATATTTAGCTATTTTTAGTAGAATTTGTAATTGGAGGACTTTCTAAGGGAAACTGGCTCGTATATACGTTACACATGTGGAAAACCATGGAAACACCCATGCAGAAAGCCCATTCGCGGGACTCGAACCGAACTACCAGTGTTCAGCGACTTTACCGCTCAGCCGCTGGTTGGCCTGCTACAGATTTAAGAAAAGACATTTTGTTTCTATTGTAAAACTCATCATGCAAGTTTTTTTAGCACAACAGTTTACATCAGCGGTGCCCAACCTTGTGGTCGCTGATCGTTTTGTACGTGCTTGCCAGCTTGATTAGGTACTATAAATAAAAAATATTTTAAAAATAACCATTCTTTTATATTTCTTTATTGTTAATATATAGTAAGCATTTATAGTCATAAGAGATATCTTGAAATGTTACAAAATAATTTATTGCTGAGTGATGAGCTTCATAGCGAACATGGAATCTTGTTGCTTCATTCCGATGTTAGATGGCTCAGCAGGGGAAAAGTACTTCAACGATTTGTAGAACTTCTTTCACCAGTAAAGCAATTTTTGGAATCCGGAAACGAAAGTTATAAAGAATTGGACGATAATAATTGGTTATCCGATCTATACTTTCTCATGGATATAACAGCTAAACTGAATGAAGATCTCCAGGGAAAAGAAAAAAACTGTTTAAATTGACTGGGACTGTAACTGTTTTTCGGAAGTAAAATTCTTGGATAAATCAGATGAAAGGAAAAAATTTCACCCATTTTCAGAATTTATCAAGCCATATTAATAATCACAAGGCAATTGTAACAGAGAAATACTTGGAAAACCTAAATGCACTGAAAAATAATTTTGAACTCTGCTTCTCCGATTTCTATAAAGTTCAACCAATATTATTATTCATCTCAAAACCATTTGCAGAAATTAGTATTTCAGATGTATCACATAAGATTGAAATATGTTTAACAAAGATGTTGATGTTTTGGAAATGTGCTCGCAATAGGCCAAACGTTAGGCACCACTGGTTTACATAGTTTAAACAATATTATATTATAGAGAAAAAAGATCAGAAACATTAAAAAGACAACGATTCACAATTCAGCTATTTAAGACAATTTAACATAAATCACCGTAAGAAGCACTGACCTTCTTTAAGTCGTACACCTTCAGTCTTACTACGACCAATGCGCTCTGACCCAGCAAGATCAACTAGCTGAAATCTTGATCTTGTTATGTTCAAAGTGATTCGATCTGTCTGCTCTACGTGAACAGCAAAAATGGCATGGGATCTGGATGACACAAGGTTCATGGCTGTTGCACCAGTACTTCTGGCTCTAGCTCCCTGCTCTAAAGCTGAAAGAGCTTCTTCAGCAGAATGAACAACAATTTCAGTTAAATTGGGCACCTAAAACCAAAATTTGATTACTTCAAGTAAAAAATGAAAAAGATTAAATTCCATATTTAAAAAATTAAAATATGTGCATTTAAAATAAAAATACAGTACAAAAAACATTGCATTAATTTTGAAACAGGTTAGATACATTGAATGTCACAAAGCTCAGGGCTTTCTACCTAAGGTAGTAACTCCCAACCGATATGTCGCAAAAAAAAAAAAAAAAAAAAAAAAAGTAAACCTGCGTCACATGGGCCACAGTGTGATATGGTAGAGTTTTAACAGCAACACTCGAAGACTTATCGAAAAAGAAAAACGGTTTGAAAAAATAATAACATAGTCTGTATCAACTCCGTTGATAGATACACACATCAACACATTAGAATAAATATAATTTAACTCTTTGAATTTTAGTTTACTTCACTACAGAGACACTCTGGCGCTATTCTCCAAGTTTAACTACACGAACATACGGGAGTGGAATACACAAGAAAATATATTACATGATGAGCTGTCGAATCGGTTTTACATGCTCAATGCAAAATACCATGATAAATTCCAATGATATTAAACAAAGAAAAACAATATTCACAGATCCTTGAGCAATGCTTAGAATTAACGTGTAAGTGCTGCTCCTAAACATTCTCTAATTCAGACAAACTGGCGACATTCCATCGCTATTTCCTTCGCTCAGTTGATTTTAAACTACCGAGCAAAATGTTAAGCTGTTTTCAACTGTTTTTAGATTTTGTCGTGGATTGTCATCATTTTCAAAATTTTATTTTCCCTATGTCCATGACTAAACCTACGACACCGAAAAGAAAATATAAAGAGAATAACGCAATTATTGATTTTAAAACTGTCTGGGAAGAAACTTTTTTGCTTATGCATCAAAAGTTTCAAACTTGTTTATTTGATATGTGGAATTTGTGTAGCAGTGCCTAAATAATTTAACCTGGACTGACATTTCAAACCACTGCCTTATGATTTCAACAGAAAATATACTGCCGGATCACATTTATGAACAAAATTCATCAATTAAAAAAAAAACTCTTTAGCCCATCAACAATCCTTGTTCCAGATGAGAAATAATGAAATGGAAACTATGAAGGTTTCTTATGAACTTTTGCTGTTGTTAGCTCGCAAGAAAAAAAAAAAAAAAAAAAAAAAAAAAAAAAAAAAAACCTTATTCTGATGGAAAGGAGATAATATAAGATACACTTTTAATATTTGCCCAAAGTTTCTGTGATATGAATATCAAAAATATGGTTGATAAAATAGTTTTGTATAAAAATACCACCATGTGCCATATAGATAACATTGGACAGGTTCAGTGTTGCCAGAAAATTTTCCACTAAAGTAGCAAAAGCAGACTCAAAAAGTCGCAAAAAATGCAAATGATGTCGTAGATTATGTGATTTTTGTGATGTCATAGTTATGCAGGCTCACATGACCTCTGACATCATCACAAATTTACCGTTTATTGGTTCTGTAAGTTACAGACTGTATTCGATACTTAGTTTTTTCAATTACATATCTTAGCTTTAACGAAAAATTTTAAAACTATATTACTTATTTTCAATTGTTTAAATATCCATTTTTTAAAAATTAATTCTCATTTAACTTACAGGTTTCAATTTTTAAATTAATTTGTAGATGTCCATTCTTAATATTCCTCATGTTTAGAGTGTTAGCTCTTTTGCATTACATTTTTTGAGTTGGCAGTTAATTTTTTCAATTCATTGCTTTTTTGCTTAATTGTGAACATTTTAATTGAGGAATGCTTTTCGGGGAGTTTTCCATTCTGTGTGGTGGATCTGTTTCAGAATCTGATTACTTAAGAAAGCCTTGTTCTTTCACGGTTAAATTTATTTTTGTTGTTATTTAGAAAAATGCCGCTGCTTTGATTTTCAAGTCATTCCCATTGCTTAGTTCTAAGCAATATTATAATCTGGAGTATGAATTTCATTTCTTTGTTTAAGTACCCAATATATGACGCGCAAGCTGCAAATTCTTTGGTTTGATTCATCATTACCATAGAATTGCAGGGAGACTGATTTAAAAACAAAATGCACGAGGGACGAGGGAGGGTGGTGAGAGCTCCCAAAGTATTTTTTTTTCCACTTCCCTTACACCGTTCTCGTTATACCGACATCAGGCTGTGCAGCCTTGAAAAGAAAAGCCCACATCTAAATAAGATTGCCAGATATCTTCTATTTAAGCCTACATAAACTATTTTTAAATATAAATTATATTTAATTAATAAATTAACATAAAAGCATTTTACGATATATTAAAAAAAATCTTTGAAGTCGCAAAAAATAGCATAAGAAAATGATGGATGTCGCAAAAATTTTGCAAAATCGCAAATACTAAATTTTAGTAGCACAAGTTTGTCAAAAGCTGCAAATTTGCACAAAATCGCACGATCTGGCAACACTGGACAGGATGATGAACAAATTGTCTCTGTACTACAGTATTATAAATACTTTCATTACTTTTGGATGAAGGTTGAGTTATCACAGACAATGCACAGTTAAGCATATTTGTGTGCTACATGAATGATAATTCTAATATTGTGGAAGAATTTCTTTATTTGTACCAACTATTTTTAAATATTGGTGAGGATATTTTTAAAGAATTTAAAAATGTAATTAAAATTAACAAAGTAGAGCGGACAAAATTAGACAGTTTGCATAGATGGAGTGCCTTGCCTGGTTGGCAAGATAAAAGGTTTTATTACACTGCCTGAAAATTTCTTGGGAAGAAAGTTTTTAAGTATCATTGTATTATTCATCAAGAAGCTTTTTGTGCCAAGGACATAGACTTGTCTTCTGTTGTTGACCCTGTAGTATGCTGTATTAACAAAATATGAGCTTGAACTCTGAATCAACGAAGATTTCATGAGCTTTTCCCAGAAGAAACTGAAGAGAATAGCGAGTTACTCCTTCACTGTAATTTGTGTTGGCTTTCCAAAGGAAATGCACTCGCGAGATTTTGTTTTAAAATATCTGGAAGAAAACAATGAACTGCGCAGTAGGTTCTTGCTACTTGGAAATGAAGATTGGTTATGGGATTTAGCTTTTGTCACTGATATTACGGGAGTAAATTAAATTAAGATTACAGAAAAGATTGCATTTTCTTACCCTAGTTGGTCGTATATCTTCTTTTGTGAACAAACTTTTGCATTTTTTCAATTTTGGATAAAAAGATTAACACATTTCACAACTAACTATCAAAATACAGATCCAAAACAGAAAAAAAAAAAAAAAAAAAAAAAAAGAGATAGATCCAATCCTACCAAAGTAGTTGCCGAAGACCTCGCAAATTCTTTTGCAATTTCACTACAAAATATTTAACCAACTGAAAATTAGCCTACAGCCGCATAAAAAAGCAAATATACGGAACTTATTTCAACTGCAAGTGATCCAAATTATATTGAATTTTCAAAATTAATACCAATAAGCAATTTTCCAAATTTACACGATTTGGCTAATAGATATTGTAGTAGGTTTGAATCAACTTATGTTTGTGAACAAATGCTTTCTATAATAATTGATTCTGATTGAATAAAATTTAAATATCATTCAAGATTGTCTAACTGATAAGCACCTAAAACACTTAATTTTGTTAGCATCTTCAAGAACTAATCCTAATACGACTTGGTAAAAAAATATATATTCAAAAACTATCTTAATTACATATTGGGTGTTTAAAAGTTATTTAGAATTATGTAGGCTATTTTTTTCCAACCTCCAACACGCTATAAAGAAAAGACAGTTGAATATACAAAAAAGATTTTATTACTGAAAGCAATGTACAATATAGGTTATTTCTCTACATAATCACATTGACGATTAAGGCATTTGTCATATCTGTGAACAAGCTTTGCAATACCCTCTTCATAAAATGTTCCCGATAATGATTGGAAGTGAGTTGTGATGGTTTCTTTGAGCTCCACGTCATTTTGGAAGCTTTGCCCCCAAGCTGCTGCTTCAGTTCAGGAAAAAAAAGAAAGTCACTCGGCGCTAGGTCGGACTATATGGTGGGTGTTCAACTGCAATTGCTGAAGGAGCCGTTGGGTTACATGAGCACTGTGAGGACGGGCATTGTCGTGGATCAGAACAATTCCAGAAGTCCGCATGCCTCTTTGTTTGTTTTGAATAGCTCTCCATAAATGTCGCAAAATGAATCTGCATAAATTATTGTTTCAGGCTCCATAAAGTCCACAAGCAGCACACCCTTTTGGTCCATAAAAACAGTTGCCATAACCTTACTGTTGTTGAAGGTTCGTTTGAATTTTGTGGGTCCCTTTGGAGAATTTGTGTGCATCCATTGTTGTGAATGTCATTTCGTTTCAGGTGTGTCATACTGAATCAATGTCTCGTCACCTGTCACAATGGATTAAAAAAAATCTTCTCTATCAGTATTGTAAGAGTCAAGAAACTCCAATGGTGCAGCCATTCGACGAGTTTTGTGGTCATCAGTCAACACCCGTGAGAGCCAGTGAGTGCAAACGTTTCTGTAGCACAACTGTTCAGTAACGATAGAGTACAGGAAAGACCTTGTAACTTCCAGAAATTTCCCTGATAAATTCACTTATGGTGAACCTTTGATTTTCCCTTAACCGCTTGGTCAATTTGTTGAACAATATTGTCTGTAGCAACAGACTTGCATCCTTGATCCCCTTCACCATGCACATCAGTTTGGCCATCTTTAAACTTTCGACACCGCTCACAAACAACGCCATCACTCATAAAGCCATTTCCATACACTCGACTCATTCTTCGATCAATTTCCACTGCACTGTTCCTTTCTGCCTGCAAGAAACGAATAACAGCTTGCAATTCACACTTGGTAAAAGAATCAATAGCGACAGCCATGTTTATGTGACTGCAAATCAACAGGAAATGGCATGTTGAGCTCGCCAGTGACAGAATGTGTGGAAGGGGAGATGCGCAGTCGCCTACTACGCACACCAACTACCCGCCACATGTCTGCCCATCATACTG